AATGCACTGCGTCCTTTCTTTCATCTGAGACTTCGCGACATCACTGCGCTGCTTCCGTATTACATTCTTGACTGCCTCTTTCCTCTCTGCTTTTAATTTCGTCGTACTCCACTTTTGGTGCATGGGCCAGGTCTCATTGTGTACCGGTAATCGTGGTTTTCTACCATACATCAGTTGGAAGGGTGACTTCTTCGTTGTTTCCTGAGTGGTAGCCGATGTGTTAGTAAAATCAGTGGAAGCTCCGTTTCCCAGTTCCCGCCCTTCGAGGCCAGCCACTCCTTCAGTGTACGGTTGTTTCTCTCCGTTAGGCCATTCGTTTGTGGATGGTATGGGGTCGTTCTGATCCTCTTGATGCCCAGCTGTTGCAAACGGGAAGTAAACTCTTCACTCTCGAAACAGGGACCTTGGTCTGTCAGTATTGTCTTCGGTACGCCGTGGTCTGCAACAATGTGTCTAACTACTGCATCTGTCACGGTTCTTGCACGTTGGTCTGGGATTGCTACGGCGTCTACCCATCGTGTCGCGTGTTCCGTCATCACCAAGAGGTACTGATTACCATTGGATGTCTGAGGAAATGGACCCATGACATCTACGGACCACAAGTCACCTATCGCGGTAACTGGAATCGACTGAAGTGGTGGTCGTATCACCGGTCACCTTTCATCAGCTGGCACCGTGGACATCCAAGTACGTATCTTGCTACGTCTTCTCTCATACCTGGCCAGTACATACTTTGTCTTAGGAGGTCGGTCGTTCTGGCCACGCCTGTATGCGCTAGCTGGTGACATTCTTCTATCATGTCGTGGCGCGACGATTGAGGTATGACAGCCAGCCAGCTTCCGTCGTTCTCTCGCCAGGTCAGAGTCCCGTAGGCATTCACTCTGAGTCGATCCCTCTGTCTGAGTAGTGTGGTTAGCTCCTTACTCGCCGTAGTTTGATCCACTTCTATTCCGTTGGTGATCACCTGTATTACTGTATTCAGCGTATCGTCCAACCTCTGCCTACGTGCAAGTCTTAGTGGGTCTTGTTCTACTGCATGCACTCCGTAAGCGACCTCGGGCAACTCAGACTCATCTTCTGGTCTCGATAACAAATCTGCCAAGACATTTTCACTTCCAGGAACGTGTGAGATCGTAAAATCGTACTCCTGAAGACGCAACATCCACCGTGACAACTTCCCCCGTGGGTCTCTCGCTGTCTTCAAAAATTGTAGCGGCTTATGATCAGTTTCGATGTGGAACCGCCGGCCGAGTAAATAAGGTCTCCATTTGTCGACTGCCCATACCATTGCTAAACATTCTTTCTCTATCGTTGAATACTTTCTCTCTGTGTGTCAAAACCCTACTGGCATACTCAACGATTCCCTCGTCCTGTCTTAGGACCGCACCTATAGCGTAGTCACTGGCATCTGTGCACACTGTGAACTGTCTTCCTGGTACAGGTAGTTTTAGCGTCATTTGTTGGTGGTCGAGCAGCTGTTTAATTCTGTCGAATGTCCTCTGCGATTCTTCCGACCAAACAAACTTTGGCTCACCTAGTAGCCTGTATAGAGGGGCTGCTATCTCATTGAAGTTCTTCACGAAGCGACTATAAAACGCTGCTCTACCCAAGAATTGTCTCAGTTTTCTCTTTGAATTCGGGGCTGGAATCGTTTTAATCGTCAAAATTTTCTCCGGCAGTGGTTTAATCTCACCATTTCCCACTTTATGTCCCAACAGAGTAACATTCTTTTTGGCTATCTGAGACTTGGTTTTGTTGACGCGTAGTCCAAACTCTTCGATGCGTCGCAGCACGGCTTCTACATGGTTGACGTGATCGTTTTCGTTTTGACTGTATATGACGAGATCATCACCATAAACCTCCACGTTTTTCAAGTTCTTAAGTAATAGCTTCATCAGTCGTCTGAACGTAAACGGTGCACCTGCTAGTCCAAACGGCATGCGTTTAAATCGATATTGTGTCTGACCCACGATGAAAGCCGTCTTATCTCTATCACCTTGTTTTATCGGTATCTGCCAGTATCCTGAGCGAAGATCGAGAACCGAAAACACATTCGCACCTTGTAGGCGATCTAAAGTTTCTACCACTGTTGGCATGGCACACGGTCTTAACTCTGTCATACTGTTTAACTGTCGAAAATCAACACAGAATCTATACTTCCCATTCGCTTTTTTTACTAACAGCACTGGAGAGTTGTACGGGCTATCAGCTTCCTCAATAATATCATCTTTTAACATCTCTTGCACTTGTCGCTCCACTTCGCCTTCCAGATGACATGGAACTCTTCGCGTTGTAAATGACCTTACTTTCGGATCACTTAACGGAATTTCATGATTCACCTTATCGCAATAACCGTATGGGTCGCCATCTCCAGTGAACAGATGATCGTATTTATTAATTAACTCTGTCACATTGTGTACCGTCGACAGCTTAATCGCTGCTATCTCGCTGGTCTCATACATGTTGATATGCCCGTATTTCGTGATCACCACGTTCGCTTGCGTGTCGATTATGCACCAATCTCACGCAGAAAATCCGCTCCTAATATCGTTCGCTGTAGTTCGGGTACAACAATGAAAGGAAACGTCACCTCGCAGCCACAAACAACGACCGTACAGTTCGATCTACCCGTGATACGCAACACATACCCGCCTACTGTTTGTACTGTCAATGAACACGGACTAACACTCTTACATAAATTCTTATCTATTAACGACACGGCCGCCCCTGTATCTATCAAACATACTACTTCTCGATCATTCACTCGCAACTTCGAATACAGAGCCCCTTTCTCAATAGCCCCCACTAAATCTAGGTTCATACGAAAGAAAGAACAAGCATTATACCGTCTGAAATTTTTTTTTTCGCCTTTCTGGGCAGTATCTTCTCCAGTGTCCCGGCTTACCGCATTCAAAACACCGGTCTTTTCTATCAGCCAACTTTAACGCCGCCACTTCCCGCTGCAATGCTTCAATTTTCTGCTCATATTCGTTTGGTTTTGGTTGGTCTATAGCGGCTACCGTTGTGCTCAGCAGCTGTCTGGTCACCTCACTAATATCCATCGGCTGCGTTGCGTTAACCAGTTTTAATCGCTGAGAAATGTGGTCTGGGACACTCTCGATGAATTGGGAAGACAGTAACTGCGCTTCTGATTCTTCGTCCAAAGTGGAAAGTGCACGTCGAAGTAGATTCGTCAATTTCACCGCCAACACTAACGGGTCTCCATCAGGTCCCAGCTTCGTTGAACGGAACTGCTGCATTGCTAGCTGTCTGTTTGTTGCGCTGTCAAACTCCGACACCAGTCGTTCAACCAATGTCTTCCAAGACGCTTTGCCATCTGACCTGACTACGCCGTCATATGCCGCCTTCGCTTGGCCTCTCAACAGCGTCCCCAGGACAACTGCCTTCGCTGCCTGCTCCTTGACACCTACCAGCTCAGCGACGGCCTCGAAGTCACGTATGAAGCCCCGTATGTCTCCTTCTTCGAAAGCAGTTGACTATGAGGTCTTCATTTTTCGGAGGCAGCGGCACCAATTGTAACGACAAGAGTCAGGCAGCAGATCGTTTATTAAGGAAATCAACACGTATTTATATATATTTCATGTACATTATTATAGCTTATTCAAGCAGACAAACCCAGTCTTCTGATTGGTTGTTTCTTACAGAAAGTTGACCTTGCATCTCTTTGTGACTGTTTCTTGAATGTCAGATCATCTATATGTTAACTGTATCTGTCTACGCGGAGTCTGCTGTGATTGGTTGTTGAATCAATCTTGTTCATATTTCCTCACCACCAATATTTGCGAAATACCCATTGACGTAAAATGCTGTCTACCAATTTTGGCTAGCCTGCTCTCACTACAGTCTCACCACCATTTAAGAACTCTGATTCTCTCCCCCCCCCAACTGTTTTGCTATGATTGAAACGTACAAAAGATCCAACTGGACAGGTATTATTATTATTCCCTTTGGTTCTTAGAGACATGACGATTACCTCACATGATCTCATTCATGTCACTGTCGGACACACATCCCATTCATCGTTTCCCATTCGGTTTCCACTCGAGCTATAGCGTATGGCTGGATGTCATTCAATAGTCTCCTCAGAGTGTCTCCGATCTGTGTCCATTTTCTTCTACTTATTTTTTGAGCAGTAGGCTGTTGGATGGTTCGTCCCCAGAGTTAATGGTTGATAATTTTTCCTGGTTTGACATCTGGTCTTCAGTATGGAGCCAGCGAAGGTAGTCGTTGATTGTGATCACAGCAGACCTGTTAGAAATGCTTTTCGTGATGTGCCAGTGTTATGATAAGCGGATGAGAAACGAATCACTCCTCCACTTAGGGATTCACGTGGTAATTTCAACGAGAGGATAATTCGGTTAGCGGTTTGGTCTTGTAGATCGGATGGTAGCGTTCTGGAATGGTTTCTCAAGTTTGATCACGGATTGATATCAGTTAAGATGAACATTTAAACCACTAATGGAGTACTGAACCGCTGTTTCATCCTTATGTATCGGCAGTACTCACCAACCGGGTTTGGAACCTAGGTCCTTCCGGTTACTAGGTAAGCTAGCTAGTGGACCATTCAGTTACTGGGAGTCGACTCAGTGGCCCGTGGATTGTAATTTTTGCCGATTCGTGATTTTGGCGCAACAATCAGGCTCTCGAGTGGAACCCGAACGGGAAGCAGCGAGTTGGTCGCCAGTGCGAGGGTAACATGGAGGAGGTCATGTGAAGAGGGGATGAGAGCATGTGGGAAGACGTGGAGCAAAGTGAAAACATTGGTGGAGAACCCGAACGCAATAAAGACGTTCGGCTGAAGTCCTATGTTCCTCTAGGAACTAAAGGAAACAATAGTAGTAATAACCAATCAATGTCCATGGCAAATATTTGTCCTCACTTCCGACCCGGTCGACGCTCACTGGTCATGACTTCTCATTAGATTTCTCCCTACGCATTATTATTTTTTTTTACTTTTATCATGTGTGTTTGTGTGTTAGATTCTACGTACACTCATTGCAACACGCTCAATCCATCTAAGAGAAGATCTACTGAATATGTTACTACACTTTTGTTCTGTTGATGGACTGGAAGTACGTAAAGCAGCACTGACAGCTACAAGAGAATTGGCGAACTATGCTTCTCGCTGGCGAGAAAATATAGAGGTATGTTTTTTTGTTTTATAGGTTTATTATTTTACTACTTGTTAGACAGATAATTTATGCCTTCTGTTGTTAGATGGGTAGGTGGTAGTCAATCAGTCAAAATCAGTTACTCCCGGCTAAAGTTTAAGCTAATGAAACTAGCCTTTTTGCAGTGGTTGGCATATAGTGTGGTTTTCGATCAATGAGGTGTACATTAATAGAGGAAGCCGGATGCGCTTAGGTAAGTCATCAAAACTCGATAATGTAGAGCAGGCTTTAAAGAACCTTGGCATCTATCTGTTACCAGTTTCAGCCCACCACGCCTCGTTGTATTTTGAGTAGGATGTAGAGCTTTAGGTTTCAAGTTCCAGTTGCGATAATTTTGCTTTTACACAGTGGGTTGGCTAGCCTCTCCCGCCTAACATTCACTCTTTTCTACGCCGGTGCGTCGGTGGCACAGTGGTTTAGACTCTCGCCGACCATGCACATGGTTTGAGGTTCGAGCCCCCGCCGATGCACACCTGATATCTATGGTCGGCCTGCAAAATTTGGGCTACCGATATCCACGCTGAAAATTCCATACTTGTACCAAAAATACGGTATGGAATCAAGCTGTAAATCAAAAAAAAAATTCTAGGGAACTAGGCGAAGTTGAAGAGTATGTCGGTCGGGAATTGGACTTAAAGCAAGTACGTGGTTAGTGGTGATTGGGCATTATACCACTGAACCACAGGTTGAACAGTGATCCCTGATTAAATGAGCTACAATGCGTAGTATTGTTGTAAATAGCAAGATCCCAACTTTTTATGATTTATCTGAATTATGATTCTACCTGGACACTCTGATTCGGGTTCGAATTTCCGGCCTACTGGATGAATGAATGTCGAATACCTAGACTGATGAGCCCATGTCCCACTAGGAACATAAAGGAATAAAAAAGAATCCGTATTTAAAGTAAAGCAAAAGAGATACTTTGATGTCTCTTTGCAGATTTATTTACTCAGCAACTTTTGTTGTTATTTGATTCCCTAATAGAGTTTGTTTAAATTGAACTCGTAAACATAATAATATTTTATATTTTGATCACAACCTAATTTCAGTAAGGAAACCATTGTTAACCAGGGTGTGGTGGACATCTGTTTCCTTCTTTTTCTGGCACTCTTCAACAGTACACACATATATGAAGCCATTTGATATTAAACTCAAGACTTTCAAGTCATAAGGCAAATTCGTTGACCATTTAGCCACTAAGTGGAATCCAATGGTCTTTGGATTCTAACATTTTGCAAATATACAGTGCGATCTGCAGCTGTCAACTTAATTTGGTGGACCCTGCTAGTCAAGAAATCGCAATAGAATCGTGGGAATAGTTACTAGTGGAGAGATAGATAAAAAAACACGGATTTTGCCTTGTAACTTGAAGGTCTCGGCTTTGACATCTGGCGGAGTCATAAATTGGTTGTCCAGTATTAATCCCTGATTTTCAATGGTTCTTTATCTGCCCAATCTTTGAGTCGATCAAATATTCTTTTATTCATTTTTATTTATTTATCAGATGTTTGCTGTACAAACGCTTAAAAAATTGCTACAACCACGTCCAACTCCTGATATATTTCCATTTCTTAATCATGCTTCAATACCGTCCACATGGACAGATAAAGCGTGTCAAGCATGTGCGCATTTATTTCTTGGTTTGATGCTAGAAAGTCCATCACTTATGCATAAGTATGTTTTATTTATTTATTTTTTTAACCCCTACTTGTTTTTGTTGATCCGACTTTGATTGTAATCATCACCTTTGCGCTATTTTGGTGAGTTCAACGCGGAGTTTGAACCCTAAATGGTGGGGACATCAGTGTTGTTTCAGGATTTTACAGATGAACACCTTTTTGTGACAAGTGTCAACAAGGGTGGAAATGAGCGTCTCATGTTCCTATGCCATGCCTCCTCATTTTTTTCTGTAATCTGAACAGCTTTACGAGCCTCATACATGGTATAGTGGAGACTGCGTATCCCCATATGTTATTTTCGTTCAGTTGGAAGAAGTCTCATCGGCTGACTCACTTCCGAAGTATTTTCAGTCTCTGGTATCATCCGTTCTCGTATTGAGAAGTTTTATCGATGCTAGTGAAGAATAAGTTAATTTTTTCTATGCTTTCAAATGTAGGCGGTTTTGTAGGGGAGGTAGAGGTTTTTTTTTCGGTCAGGTTGCTAGCTTTACTTCCAACCGGTTTTTCAGGGACTTTCCCCCTTTGAACCCATGAAATAAACTAGTGACTGATTAACTAATATTGGTTGCAGGTTTGTTCATGAGTCGAGGGAACCATTGAATAACCACCAGAGAGTACTGGACAGCTGTTTCGTCCTAGAGACTAGTGATCCTTAGCAGTACTCAACCACTGGGACCCAATCGAATGGCCCATAAATCCCAACTTCTGTGCAATATATATATTACGAATTGGCAGAAGTTGGAAAACATGAGCCATTGGATCAGGTCCTAGTGACTAAAATGGTGGTCTACAAGCTCAGCTTGTACCTGGGAAGCCCTGGGTTTGAACCCTAGTGGATGCATACCTCTGAGAAGTCCCGAACACTGGAATAAAACAGTTTCCCAGCACTCCTTGATGGTTTCCCAGTGGTGTTCTCTAAATGATGTCAGCTTTATGTGTTTGTATACTGTTGCTGTCTTCCTATTATTATTATTTTCAATAGTGATACTATTGAATAATCGTTAATTAGGCTTCCTCATCATTGTTTATCCGTTTTCCTTCTTTTTTTATTGAACAGGTTAGCTGAAGTATATACTCACGCTAGTCCAGATATTAAACGATGTCTACTGAGAATGCTGGATTCTCCAGTTAGTTGGATTTGTTACTTTGTGTTGTTTTTGTTGTTTATTGTTTTCAATTTTGAATGTTATTCAAGGGATTAGGTCTTATTTCTTGTTTCTTATGTGTGCTTTACCTAAGTATGGTAAATCAGATACGTGTACTGCATATCAGCAGTTCACCCCGTCCTCCTTTAAGATTGTGAATGAGACATCTGGTTTATTGCAAAAGGGAAGAGATGAAAAGTTTGGCTGGCTAGCTGTCTTTGATCATAGGTGTCTGTGTTCTATCTCCCTTGGTGGGTGGTATAATACAATGAGTAATATTGAAGTTAGACGTTGAGTGTTCAGTAAGGAGGGAAAGTCAATCGATATAATTGTAAAGCTAGACCGAGGAAGAGATGCACTTCAATAGGTTAAACCCTCGAGTTTTAGTTGATGGGTTTGTAGTTCGAATCCAGTCCTGCATACTTCACCTTTTGTGAGTGACTGAATTGTAGTATCAGCTTTCACATGATATGTGTGGCTCTTAGTCAAGGTAATTTATTCTGATTAAATGACAGTTTAACTACTACGTTGTTTCAATGGATATTTAGTTAATTTCTCATTATATATTGTGTAAATGTTGATTTAGTGTGTATCGAATGGGAACAGGAAATCTGTTAAGGACTCTAGATGTTTAGACAAATGGCGTATTTTTCAAACAGTTCTAGACGAAAATTCATCACAGCATTCAAGAAGGCAAACACCATTCCATGAAGGTATATATCACTGACTGACTAACTGACTGGATTCAACATACTAGTTTACACAGGTGTGCAGCAGTTCGAGTTGCCGCACTCCCTCCTTGTAGTACACAGAGAAAGAGAAGAGAGTAAAAACGGATTCAAAATTAGAGAGAGAGAGATAATAAACAGAAGTGTGATTGAGGGAAAAAGAATAGTAATGTGGTGGAAGAACAATAGACTACTGGGTATGACAAGTTATCACAAAGAATGAATTCATCTATGCTAACCATTGACAACGATGATTTTAAGCCATATCACCAATTGTCTCCAACCTTCATTGGTTCTTACTACCATTCCGTAGACCTCACCCAGTCGGTTAGTCTACACCTCTTACTTGACCTCTGTCTGTCTGTCTGTTTTCGACATAGAACTTTGCACAAATGTGCGGAAGTTCAAGTCGCCACATTCCGTGTAGCACGCGAAGCAAGAGAAGAAAGTACAAGAAAAGCATAATAGAAACAGTGAGAAGAGGTGTGAGACAAAGGAGTAATAAAGAATAACAAAACAGTTTCATTCAAGATCATAAGTGAGAATATCTGACATAGTCTAAAGTTCACATTTTCCAAGCTCATCTGCCAACTATTAAGTAGATTTTTATTTCGCTATTCTGGGGTAGTAATTAGGAGGGCTGTATTTCGAGGCCTATCATGACCAAGATTTTCATTTCACTTGTAATCGTCACTCACCAAATCTAAAACAGTGTGTTAGCCGGGTGATTTTCTCAGATAGTCTTGTAACGACAAAAGACAAGAATCAGGCGACAGATCGTTTATAAAGGAAATCAACACGTATTTATATATATTTCATGTACATTATTATAGCTTATTCAAGTAGACAAACGCAGTCTTCTGATTGGTTGTTTCTAGAAGCCATCGAAAAGTCGGGCCACCTATCTGCGAATCATATTTGCCCACGTTAAGTTGGTGTGATTGTTTGTTGAATCAGCCTTGTTCATATTTTCTCACGGCCTATATCAGTGACCTAGACATTGGCGTAAATTAATGTCTACCAATTGGCTAGCAGCCTGCTCTCACCACACTCGTCCCCCTGTCAAATAGTTTCGTGCGCAGACGTTCCGACCTTCTGGGTGCTACATCCTCTAGTTGAGGATTGTTACTGACCGGCTTGTCCCACTGTACCCATCTTTGGAGCTGACTGGCGTTAACTCGTTTCTGTTTATCACCTCTTCGGATGGTATATACTTGACCCCGTCTTTTTGTGATTGTGTATGGTCCTTCCCACTTTGGAAGGAGTTTCCGTGAACCTAGCCCGCCTCCAACTGTATATCTCCTGTCTCTACACTTCACTTGGTCCCCGACTGCAAAGGTAATGCACTGCGTCCTTTCTTTCATCTGAGACTTCGCGACATCACTGCGCTGCTTCTGTATTACATTCTTGACTGCCTCTTTCCTCTCTGCTTTTAATTTCGTCGTACTCCACTTTTGGTGCATGGGCCAGGTCTCATTGTGTATCGGTGAAAGGGTGACTTCTTCGTTGTTTCCTGAGTGGTAGCCCGATGTGTTAGTAAAATCAGTGGAAGCTCCGTTTCCCAGTTCCCGCCCTTCGAGGCCAGCCACTCCTTCAGTGTACGGTTGTTTCTCTCCGTTAGGCCATTCGTTTGTGGATGGTATGGGGTCGTTCTGATCCTCTTGATGCCCAGCTGTTGCAAACGGGAAGTAAACTCTTCACTCTCGAAACAGGGACCTTGGTCTGTCAGTATTGTCTTCGGTACGCCGTGGTCTGCAACAATGTGTCTAACTACTGCATCTGTCACGGTTCTTGCACGTTGGTCTGGGATTGCTACGGCGTCTACCCATCGTGTCGCGTGTTCCGTCATCACCAAGAGGTACTGATTACCATTGGATGTCTGAGGAAATGGACCCATGACATCTACGGACCACAAGTCACCTATCGCGGTAACTGGAATCGACTGAAGTGGTGGTCGTATACCGGTCACCTTTCATCAGCTGGCACCGTGGACATCCAAGTACGTATCTTGCTACGTCTTCTCTCATACCTGGCCAGTACATACTTTGTCTTAGGAGGTCGGTCGTTCTGGCCACGCCTGTATGCGCTAGCTGGTGACATTCTTCTATCATGTCGTGGCGCGACGATTGAGGTATGACAGCCAGCCAGCTTCCGTCGTTCTCTCGCCAGGTCAGAGTCCCGTAGGCATTCACTCTGAGTCGATCCCTCTGTCTGAGTAGTGTGGTTAGCTCCTTACTCGCCGTAGTTTGATCCACTTCTATTCCGTTGGTGATCACCTGTATTACTGTATTCAGCGTATCGTCCAACCTCTGCCTACGTGCAAGTCTTAGTGGGTCTTGTTCTACTGCATGCACTCCGTAAGCGACCTCGGGCAACTCAGACTCATCTTCTGGTCTCGATAACAAATCTGCCAAGACATTTTCACTTCCAGGAACGTGTGAGATCGTAAAATCGTACTCCTGAAGACGCAACATCCACCGTGACAACTTCCCCCGTGGGTCTCTCGCTGTCTTCAAAAATTGTAGCGGCTTATGATCAGTTTCGATGTGGAACCGCCGGCCGAGTAAATAAGGTCTCCATTTGTCGACTGCCCATACCATTGCTAAACATTCTTTCTCTATCGTTGAATACTTTCTCTCTGTGTGTCAAAACCCTACTGGCATACTCAACGATTCCCTCGTCCTGTCTTAGGACCGCACCTATAGCGTAGTCACTGGCATCTGTGCACACTGTGAACTGTCTTCCTGGCACAGGTAGTTTTAGCGTCATTTGTTGGTGGTCGAGCAGCTGTTTAATTCTGTCGAATGTCCTCTGCGATTCTTCCGACCAAACAAACTTTGGCTCACCTAGTAGCCTGTATAGAGGGGCTGCTATCTCATTGAAGTTCTTCACGAAGCGACTATAAAACGCTGCTCTACCCAAGAATTGTCTCAGTTTTCTCTTTGAATTCGGGGCTGGAATCGTTTTAATCGTCAAAATTTTCTCCGGCAGTGGTTTAATCTCACCATTTCCCACTTTATGTCCCAACAGAGTAACATTCTTTTTGGCTATCTGAGACTTGGTTTTGTTGACGCGTAGTCCAAACTCTTCGATGCGTCGCAGCACGGCTTCTACATGGTTGACGTGATCGTTTTCGTTTTGACTGTATATGACGAGATCATCACCATAAACCTCCACGTTTTTCAAGTTCCTAAGTAATAGCTTCATCAGTCGTCTGAACGTAAACGGTGCACCTGCTAGTCCAAACGGCATGCGTTTAAATCGATATTGTGTCTGACCCACGATGAAAGCCGTCTTATCTCTATCACCTTGTTTTATCGGTATCTGCCAGTATCCTGAGCGAAGATCGAGAACCGAAAACACATTCGCACCTTGTAGGCGATCTAAAGTTTCTACCACTGTTGGCATGGCACACGGTCTTAACTCTGTCATACTGTTTAACTGTCGAAAATCAACACAGAATCTATACTTCCCATTCGCTTTTTTTACTAACAGCACTGGAGAGTTGTACGGGCTATCAGCTTCCTCAATAATATCGTCTTTTAACATCTCTTGCACTTGTCGCTCCACTTCGCCTTCCAGATGACATGGAACTCTTCGCGTTGTAAATGACCTTACTTTCGGATCACTTAACGGAATTTCATGATTCACCTTATCGCAATAACCGTATGGGTCGCCATCTCCAGTGAACAGATGATCGTATTTATTAATTAACTCTGTCACATTGTGTACCGTCGACAGCTTAATCGCTGCTATCTCGCTGGTCTCATACATGTTGATATGCCCGTATTTCGTGATCACCACGTTCGCTTGCGTGTCGATTATGGCACCAATCTCACGCAGAAAATCCGCTCCTAATATCGTTCGCTGTAGTTCGGGTACAACAATGAAAGGAAACGTCACCTCGCAGCCACCAACAACGACCGTACAGTTCGATCTACCCGTGATACGCAACACATACCCGCCTACTGTTTGTACTGTCAATGAACACGGACTAACACTCTTACATAAATTCTTATCTATTAACGACACGGCCGCCCCTGTATCTATCAAACATACTACTTCTCGATCATTCACTCGCAACTTCGAATACAGAGCCCCTTTCTCAATAGCCCCCACTAAATCTAGGTTCATACGAAAGAAAGAACAAGCATTATACCGTCTGAAATTTTTTTTTCGCCTTTCTGGGCAGTATCTTCTCCAGTGTCCCGGCTTACCGCATTCAAAACACCGGTCTTTTCTATCAGCCAACTTTAACGCCGCCACTTCCCGCTGCAATGCTTCAATTTTCTGCTCATATTTGTTTGGTTTTGGTTGGTCTATAGCGGCTACCGTTGTGCTCAGCAGCTGTCTGGTCACCTCACTAATATCCATCGGCTGCGTTGCGTTAACCAGTTTTAATCGCTGAGAAATGTGGTCTGGGACACTCGATGAATTGGGAAGACAGTAACTGCGCTTCTGATTCTTCATCTAAAGTGGGAAGCGCACGTCGAAGTAGATTCGTCAGTTTCACCGCCAACACTAGCGGGTCTCCATCAGGTCCCAGCTTCGTTGACCGGAACTGCTGCATTGCTAGCTGTCTGTTTGTTGCGCTGTCAAACTCCGACACCAGTCGTTCAACCAATTTCTTCCAAGACGCTTTGCCATCTGACCTGACTACGCCGTCATATGCCGCCTTCGCTTGGCCTCTCAACAGCGTCCCCAGGACAACTGCCTTCGCTGCCTGCTCCTTGACACCTACCAGCTCAGCGACGGCCTCGAAGACACGTATGAAGCCCCGAGTCAGGCAGCAGATCGTTTATTAAGGAAATCGACACGTATATATATATATTTCAGGTACATTATTATAGCTTATTCAAGCAGACAAACACAGTCTTCTGATTGGTTGTTTCTTACAGAAAGTTGACCTTGCATCTCTTTGTGACTGTTTCTAGAATGTCAGATCATCTATATGTTAACTGTATCTGCCTACGCGAAGTCTGCTGTGATTGGTTGTTGAATCAGTCTTGTTCATATTTTCTCACCACCGATATTTGCGATATACCCATTGACGTAAAATGCTGTCTACCATTTTTGGCTAGCCTGCTCTCACTACAGTCTCACCACCATTTAAGAACTCTGATTCTCTCCCCCCCCAACTGTTTTGCTATGATTGAAACGTACAAAAGATCCAACTGGACAGGTATTATTATTATTCCCTTTGGTTCTTAGAGACATGACGATTACCTCACATGATCTCATTCATGTCACTGTCGGACACACATCCCATTCATCGTTTCCCATTCCCGATAGTCTCCTCAGAGTGTCTCCGATCTGTGTCCATTTTCTCCTACTTATTTTTTGAGCAGTAGGCTGTTGGATGGTTCGTCCCCAGAGTTAATGGTTGATAATTTTTCCTGGTTGGACATCTGGTCTTCAGTATGGAGCCAGCGAAGGTAGTCGTTGATTGTGATCACAGCAGACCTGTTAGAAATGCTTTTCGTGATGTGCCAGTGTTATGATAAGCGGATGAGAAACGAATCACTCCTCCACTTAGGGATTCACGTGGTAATTTCAACGAGAGGATAATTCGGTTAGCGGTTTGGTCTTGTAGATCGGATGGTAGCGTTCTGGAATGGTTTCTCAAGTTTGATCACGGATTGATATCAGTTAAGATGAACATTTAAACCACTAATGGAGTACTGAACCGCTGTTTCATCCTTATGTATCGGCAGTACTCACCAACCGGGTTTGGAACCTAGGTCCTTCCGGTTACTAGGTAAGCTAGCTAGTGGACCATTCAGTTACTGGGAGTCGACTCAGTGGCCCGTGGATTGTAATTTTTGCCGATTCGTGATTTTGGCGCAACAATCAGGCTCTCGAGTGGAACCCGAACGGGAAGCAGCGAGTTGGTCGCCAGTGCGAGGGTAACATGGAGGAGGTCATGTGAAGAGGGGATGAGAGCATGTGGGAAGACGTGGAGCAAAGTGAAAACATTGGTGGAGAACCCGAACGCAATAAAGACGTTCGGCTGAAGTCCTATGTTCCTCTAGGAACTAAAGGAAACAATAGTAATAATAACCAACCAATGTCCATGGCAAATATTTGTCCTCACTTCCGACCCGGTCGACGCTCACTGGTCATGACTTCTCATTAGATTTCTCCCTACGCATTATTATTTTTTTTACTTTTATCATGTGTGTTTGTGTGTTAGATTCTACGTACACTCATTGCAACACGCTCAATCCATCTAAGAGAAGATCTACTGAATATGTTACTACACTTTTGTTCTGTTGATGGACTGGAAGTACGTAAAGCAGCACTGACAGCTACAAGAGAATTGGCGAACTATGCTTCTCGCTGGCGAGAAAATATAGAGGTATGTTTTTTTGTTTTATAGGTTTATTATTTTACTACTTGTTAGACAGATAATTTATGCCTTCTGTTGTTAGATGGGTAGGTGGTAGTCAATCAGTCAAAATCAGTTACTCCCGGCTAAAGTTTAAGCTAATGAAACTAGCCTTTTTGCAGTGGTTGGCATATAGTGTGGTTTTCGATCAATGAGGTGTACATTAATAGAGGAAGCCGGATGCGCTTAGGTAAGTCATCAAAACTCGATAATGTAGAGCAGGCTTTAAAGAACCTTGGCATCTATCTGTTACCAGTTTCAGCCCACCACGCCTCGTTGTATTTTGAGTAGGATGTAGAGCTTTAGGTTTCAAGTTCCAGTTGCGATAATTTTGCTTTTACACAGTGGGTTGGCTAGCCTCTCCCGCCTAACATTCACTCTTTTCTACGCCGGTGCGTCGGTGGCACAGTGGTTTAGACTCTCGCCGACCATGCACATGGTTTGAGGTTCGAGCCCCCGCCGATGCACACCTGATATCTATGGTCGGCCTGCAAAATTTGGGCTACCGATATCCACGCTGAAAATTCCATACTTGTACCAAAAATACGGTATGGAATCAAGCTGTAAATCAAAAAAAAAATTCTAGGGAACTAGGCGAAGTTGAAGAGTATGTCGGTCGGGAATTGGACTTAAAGCAAGTACGTGGTTAGTGGTGATTGGGCATTATACCACTGAACCACAGGTTGAACAGTGATCCCTGATTAAATGAGCTACAATGCGTAGTATTGTTGTAAATAGCAAGATCCCAACTTTTTATGATTTATCTGAATTATGATTCTACCTGGACACTCTGATTCGGGTTCGAATTTCCGGCCTACTGGATGAATGAATGTCGAATACCTAGACTGATGAGCCCATGTCCCACTAGGAACATAAAGGAATAAAAAAGAATCCGTATTTAAAGTAAAGCAAAAGAGATACTTTGATGTCTCTTTGCAGATTTATTTACTCAGCAACTTTTGTTGTTATTTGATTCCCTAATAGAGTTTGTTTAAATTGAACTCGTAAACATAATAATATTTTATATTTTGATCACAACCTAATTTCAGTAAGGAAACCATTGTTAACCAGGGTGTGGTGGACATCTGTTTCCTTCTTTTTCTGGCACTCTTCAACAGTACACACATATATGAAGCCATTTGATATTAAACTCAAGACTTTCAAGTCATAAGGCAAATTCGTTGACCATTTAGCCACTAAGTGGAATCCAATGGTCTTTGGATTCTAACATTTTGCAAATATACAGTGCGATCTGCAGCTGTCAACTTAATTTGGTGGACCCTGCTAGTCAAGAAATCGCAATAGAATCGTGGGAATAGTTACTAGTGGAGAGATAGATAAAAAAACACGGATTTTGCCTTGTAACTTGAAGGTCTCGGCTTTGACATCTGGCGGAGTCATAAATTGGTTGTCCAGTATTAATCCCTGATTTTCAATGGTTCTTTATCTGCCCAATCTTTGAGTCGATCAAATATTCTTTTATTCATTTTTATTTATTTATCAGATGTTTGCTGTACAAACGCTTAAAAAATTGCTACAACCACGTCCAACTCCTGATATATTTCCATTTCTTAATCATGCTTCAATACCGTCCACATGGACAGATAAAGCGTGTCAAGCATGTGCGCATTTATTTCTTGGTTTGATGCTAGAAAGTCCATCACTTATGCATAAGTATGTTTTATTTATTTATTTTTTTAACCCCTACTTGTTTTTGTTGATCCGACTTTGATTGTAATCATCACCTTTGCGCTATTTTGGTGAGTTCAACGCGGAGTTTGAACCCTAAATGGTGGGGACATCAGTGTTGTTTCAGGATTTTACAGATGAACACCTTTTTGTGACAAGTGTCAACAAGGGTGGAAATGAGCGTCTCATGTTCCTATGCCATGCCTCCTCATTTTTTTCTGTAATCTGAACAGCTTTACGAGCCTCATACATGGTATAGTGGAGACTGCGTATCCCCATATGTTATTTTCGTTCAGTTGGAAGAAGTCTCATCGGCTGACTCACTTCCGAAGTATTTTCAGTCTCTGGTATCATCCGTTCTCGTATTGAGAAGTTTTATCGATGCTAGTGAAGAATAAGTTAATTTTTTCTATGCTTTCAAATGTAGGCGGTTTTGTAGGGGAGGTAGAGGTTTTTTTTTTCGGTCAGGTTGCTAGCTTTACTTCCAACCGGTTTTTCAGGGACTTTCCCCCTTTGAACCCATGAAATAAACTAGTGACTGATTAACTAATATTGGTTGCAGGTTTGTTCATGAGTCGAGGGAACCATTGAATAACCACCAGAGAGTACTGGACAGCTGTTTCGTCCTAGAGACTAGTGATCCTTAGCAGTACTCAACCACTGGGACCCAATCGAATGGCCCATAAATCCCAACTTCTGTGCAATATATATATTACGAATTGGCAGAAGTTGGAAAACATGAGCCATTGGATCAGGTCCTAGTGACTAAAATGGTGGTCTACAAGCTCAGCTTGTACCTGGGAAGCCCTGGGTTTGAACCCTAGTGGATGCATACCTCTGAGAAGTCCCGAACACTGGAATAAAACAGTTTCCCAGCACTCCTTGATGGTTTCCCAGTGGTGTTCTCTAAATGATGTCAGCTTTATGTGTTTGTATACTGTTGCTGTCTTCCTATTATTATTATTTTCAATAGTGATACTATTGAATAATCGTTAATTAGGCTTCCTCATCATTGTTTATCCGTTTTCCTTCTTTTTTTATTGAACAGGTTAGCTGAAGTATATACTCACGCTAGTCCAGATATTAAACGATGTCTACTGAGAATGCTGGATTCTCCAGTTAGTTGGATTTGTTACTTTGTGTTGTTTTTGTTGTTTATTGTTTTCAATTTTGAATGTTATTCAAGGGATTAGGTCTTATTTCTTGTTTCTTATGTGTGCTTTACCTAAGTATGGTAAATCAGATACGTGTACTGCATATCAGCAGTTCACCCCGTCCTCCTTTAAGATTGTGAATGAGACATCTGGTTTATTGCAAAAGGGAAGAGATGAAAAGTTTGGCTGGCTAGCTGTCTTTGATCATAGGTGTCTGTGTTCTATCTCCCTTGGTGGGTGGTATAATACAATGAGTAATATTGAAGTTAGACGTTGAGTGTTCAGTAAGGAGGGAAAGTCAATCGATATAATTGTAAAGCTAGACCGAGGAAGAGATGCACTTCAATAGGTTAAACCCTCGAGTTTTAGTTGATGGGTTTGTAGTTCGAATCCAGTCCTGCATACTTCACCTTTTGTGAGTGACTGAATTGTAGTATCAGCTTTCACATGATATGTGTGGCTCTTAGTCAAGGTAATTTATTCTGATTAAATGACAGTTTAACTACTACGTTGTTTCAATGGATATTTAGTTAATTTCTCATTATATATTGTGTAAATGTTGATTTAGTGTGTATCGAATGGGAACAGGAAATCTGTTAAGGACTCTAGATGTTTAGACAAATGGCGTATTTTTCAAACAGTTCTAGACGAAAATTCATCACAGCATTCAAGAAGGCAAACACCATTCCATGAAGGTATATATCACTGACTGACTAACTGACTGGATTCAACATACTAGTTTACACAGGTGTGCAGCAGTTCGAGTTGCCGCACTCCCTCCTTGTAGTACACAGAGAAAGAGAAGAGAGTAAAAACGGATTCAAAATTAGAGAGAGAGAGATAATAAACAGAAGTGTGATTGAGGGAAAAAGAATAGTAATGTGGTGGAAGAACAATAGACTACTGGGTATGACAAGTTATCACAAAGAATGAATTCATCTATGCTAACCATTGACAACGATGATTTTAAGCCATATCACCAATTGTCTCCAACCTTCATTGGTTCTTACTACCATTCCGTAGACCTCACCCAGTCGGTTAGTCTACACCTCTTACTTGACCTCTGTCTGTCTGTCTGTTTTCGACATAGAACTTTGCACAAATGTGCGGAAGTTCAAGTCGCCACATTCCGTGTAGCACGCGAAGCAAGAGAAGAAAGTACAAGAAAAGCATAATAGAAACAGTGAGCAGAGGTGTGAGACAAAGGAGTAATAGAGAAAAACAAAACAGTTTCATTGAAGATCATAAGTCACAGGGAGTGGATGCATCTGCGCCACTGAGAACGGTTTTGAGCCATGTCACCAATTGTTTCCAACCATAGATTTTTACCGTCCCGAGGACCCCAGCCTGGAAGTCTACACCTTCCTACGTGGCTTAGACCAACTGTTGTGGATTTCATTGACTGATGCCAAGTTTTTGTTTGACCGCCACTAGCTTTTTTCCAGCCTGACCCTATATCCGCTAACATTGCTCGTCGAGGGAGGCGATGACTAGGATTGTATGAATAACACATGTCCTAACCATCTCAGTCTTTGTAGCTTCACGACTTCGTCGATTGATTTGCCCTGTTTACCTAGAACTCTACGCCTAACCTCCATGTTGCTCACCTTATTATGCCACTTTACACGGAAATAGAACGCAGGCACCTATCTTACTTGACCGGCTGGCTTAAACTAACTGTTATGGATTTGATGTTTCGGTTTGACTACCACTAGCTTTTCTCCAGCCTGATCCATCCAATGTCAACTAATATTGCCATTTGAGAGAGGCGGTGGCTAGGCATGTGTATGACAAGTCACAGCTATCTTAATCGGTGTAACTTCACGACCTCGTCGACTGATTTCCCCTCCGTACCCAACAGTCGACTGAAGTCTAACCTCAATATTACTCACTGTATTACACTTCCTAACATGTGAGACAGAACACAGACACCTACGATCAAAGGCAGACAGTCAGCCAGACTTTTCTTGTCTTCCACTTTCATTGACCATATGTCTCATTCACAGTCATAAAGGAGGATAGAGTGAGCTGCTGTCGTGCACTGCACACGTCCTTTGGTCGACAGCCGGTTATCGCGTTTGTTAAGCCCGAGATGGCGTAAGTTGGTATATGTCAAACGGGCATTCTGTATCCGTGTGGAGGTTTCGTCAACGATCATCCCAGTGGTGTTGGCTGATGCAACTTCCCAAATACGTGAAGTGGTCAACACGTTCTATCACTCCACTCCCTATCATTAAGCTAGGAGTCAGTGTATTTCAGAACTGTAGCGTCACTTTACATTTAGCTAGAGCGAATCGCATGCCAAACATTCTCAGATTATACAGCTCAAGGTGTTCAGAGGACTGCATTTTGTCAGCGTCCTCGCCTAGGATGACTGTATGATCTGCATATTCTTAGTTGATGAAATTATTCCGTTGTAATGTATGTGATTGGATGCCACTGACCGTCAGTCATCATTTCCTGCTAACCCTTCCCCTCTTTACCAGTCTTATTACTGGCTTAGCGAGGTAAGGGAGGTAAGGTGAAGTTGAATTACTATGGTTTTAACAGTTTGATAACCACAGACTTTTAAAAGCTTCAGTAAGCTTGAACTTACTTGTTTGTTTATCGATTAGTTTGATGTTCACCTGACGCGTTGTTTGCGTCAATGCAATACAGCCCTGTGTATTATTTAAAAGAAAAAAAGGAAATGTTCTCAGGAACTTTAAACTGACGTGTGTCATAAATTTTCACCGTCGTTTTCCATCCTTTTTTTGTAGCGTATTCATATTTCAAAAGCAATTGTTGAAGTTCTAGAACATGTACCTACACCACCTCGTGTACCGACACCTGAGGATCGCATGAAACCCGATACTTTTGTTGTTTGTGATGGTGGTGACGGTGATGACGGTACAGCAGTTAAAGAAGAAAATACCACTACTCAACCTGGAAACAACAGTCCAACATCATCAGGTCCAGGTATACCTACACGTGGGGAAATGTCACACCATGATACACCATCATTTATTCCGGCTGGAATGTTCAATCAACCAACTACTAATATCCCTGTGATGAATATAGATACCACTACATCTAATGGAATCGATAATCAATGTCATCAAATCCCTGGGTTGAAAAATCCTATACAACAAGCCGCCGGATCATACAATCCACCGTCTAGTCAATCAAATCTTCTTAAAGCAACAACAGCAACTACCTCCACCACAACGACAACAACACCATAGACGACTTTGTTTGATGTCAACTGACAATTGTGCAAATTTGACAAGAGTTAGTGTATGCGGCTGAAGTATCGCACAATAATTTTATGAATCCTCAGATGATTTTTCCAGTACTAAGATTGTTAACAAAATATATGTGTATGATTAAAGAGCACAATTTTAGCAGATATGCCATAAGTCAGGATACCCTATTAGGCCTATAGTTGATTTTAGAAATGCACCTACTTATGAATTATCTAAATATGTAGCCAGGGTATTAAATCCCCTAAATTGCCACTCGAAATCTAGACTAACTAATTCTTATGAACTAAAACACCGATTAGATATTTTAAAATTAGATAATGCAGAAAAAATGGTTCGTTTTGAAATTGTCACGTATACCAGTGAATATGGCTATAGAGTCATTCAGAAACAAACTGATATCTGACCAAGAACTCGAACTTACGACGAAATTGCCACTTGAGGACATAATGCTGGGAGTACAGCTATGCCTGATTTCCACAGTGTTTAAATTCCAAGGAAAAATATACAAACAAACTAAGGGAGTTGCCATGGGATCACCAATATCCCCGGTTGTAGCAGATATATTCATGGATAGGTGGGAAAACATAGCGACTGAAACGTTCAACCCCACCTCTAAAGTATGTTGGAGGTATGTAGATGACACATTCACTGTACTCAGAACACAAGGTATAGATGGATTTTTCGAACACATCAACTCGAAGGTAGAGGCAATTCAATTCACTTATGAATTGGAAATTCAGGAAGGGGAGCTTCCAATGTTAGATTGCCACGTAAAAAAAAGATGGGAAGTGAAACATTAGTGTTTACAGGGGACCCACACATTCATATAGATATTTGGACTTCCGGTCATCCCATCCTATGTCAGTGAAAATGGGATTGGTGAAATGTTTAAGTGACAGAGCACAAAAACAGAGTAGTACCAAGGCAAATCTAAGACAAGAAGTGAGACATATAAGAGAAGCCTTGAAACTTAATAATTACCCGGATAATTTAGTCAGATATTATGTAAGGAAATGTAAAAATAAAGTAAGTAGTGATTGTAGCGATGGTGATAATAATAACAGTGATAAAAATAATAAGAATATTAGTGACGACACCAACAATAAGGAATCTAAATCATCAGTAGTAATTCCATACAAGGAAGGAACCTCGGAAACCTTACACATAATTCTTAAGAAGGCAGGAATAAGAGTGGTTGACAGTCAAACCACCCACGAACTCAATTACAAACAAGCTTTGTCTAGTACCCTGTCTGCGACGACTGTCATGTAAAATAAATAGGTCAAAATAGTGGAAAGGGGTCAGTCAGTCAAACTAGAGGAGCAAAGAAACCTAGCAAAATCTAGATTAGTTGACCCCAATAAGATAATAAATCTGGAGAATAGTTCAGCTGTAGCACTCGCTACTTGCAGTTACACACAACCATACAATAGGATGGGAGAGCATAAGATGGCAGTTTTGAAATCTAATGTCACAGGTTATAGGGAGAGAATTATAACAGTAGCTTTGTTTATCGAATTAACTGCAAATACGTGTAATGATTCATCACCTGTCCCTGATATCTGGAAAATTCTACTACCCCAACGATGGCAAATAGGAGACGACAAAGAAAACTAAAAAAATTCAGGTTTTGAAGTCGTGTGATTATAATTGATGGAGTGATTATGAACAAGAAATTTTGTTCGTAACCTTGTCATCCAGTAAATAATAATAATATTGTTTCACTGTGTGATATATCCACCTAATAAACAAACTAATATCGATCGATATCCCGTTTTTTCCATCCATTTCTGTTGTTTCCTGTGGATTTTGCGTTTGTAACCTTTGTTTTCTAAAGTTGATATGCGAGGGTAATTGTACCACTTAGAAAATATGTGTATTGCTGTATAAGAAGCCTATTGCAGATAGGTAGTTGTTGTCGAGTAGCTTTTTGAACAGGATGTTTATTTGTTTACTCTGGTGTTGTTTTAAGCCTACGTATTCTATCTGCAAGACCTTGTATTAATCCTCGTTTTACCGTGAGTGGATGAGCTGAGTGATAATCAAGGAATCTTCCAGACTGTGTAGTTTTTGGTTATAGCTTTGTTTTTATGCCACCACCTGTTTCTCTTTGTATTTTGCAGTCTAACATAGGCAGTTTCCCAGTTTCATCGAGTCTATATGACTTTATGTGTGAGACAAATTCCTCGGCATTGTTATTTTCCTGATTACTAACGTGTCGTCTACATACCTCTACCATCATTTTATTGATGACCTGAATAGTTTGAGTGCATTCTCTTCGCAAAAATCCACAAACAAAACAATTCTAACAGTTGGTATGATGATCACGCGCAGTAAGTAATTCTTCTCGAAATATTACCAAAAAAACAACAAAAAACTCATCCTAGTGTTTGTTTGTAGGACTCTTCCGCAGTACGCACCCACCAGGATTCGAACCCAGGACCTCCTGGTTACAAGACGAGCTCGTATACCTTAATGATATACGAGCCCCAAACTAGGACAAAACACCTGTCCAGTACTCCCAGGTTTTCCAATGGTTCTCTAACCAATGTCAGCTCATGATGAAATCCTGTAAAAAAAACTCATCATTGTGTGTAAACGATTTCGATTTGGTCAGATGAAAGCATGACTCAATGGAGAATGATATAGGTAAAACGTCGTCAGTGAACACAAGCAGATAGGCATTTTCAACGCAATGCTGAAGACGACTATTCTCACTACTTCAATTGATCTGGGCCACAAAACCATTTGGGATAGCAAAGATTGACTTTATTAGGTAACTAAAATAGCTAGTAGTAGTTCAATAGTAGGGGTAGGATGGCTCCCAGACACATGCAAGAGAGGTCTCGACTCGATTTTTTACTGACCCACTCCCAAGCCTTACATAGTCCGCATTTTAAGCTTGAAAGGAATGGAGGTTGGGAGGAGAATACAAATAACTTTTACAACTTGAAACTTCAGTTTAAGGTTGCAGTATTTTTCCATCACTGTATATCATTTTTCTGTAGTTTGGTTTGTACGAGGTTTTACGAGTTGATCACGGATTGATATCAGTTAGAGAACCATTGAAAACCAGGGAGTACTGGACAGCTGCTGTTTCATCCTAGTTTGGGAATCATCGGCAGTGCGCACCCACTGGGGTTCGAACCCAGGACAAATAAACAATTCTACTGTTACCTATTTTAGCCGCCTCAACCTTAATAGATGGAGCAGGTTTCGAACTGGTAAATTAGTCGTTGGTAGCCTACTGTGTGTAGACCGATGAACCACAGCTCCACATATGAATATTAGTGGACTCTAATCGTTTGTTCATAGTTGATTTAGGTATACTAAAGAAACTTCTGGTCGAGTTTGTTTATTATTATTTCCTTGGGTTCCGTGTGGAACATAGGGCTTCAACAGCACATCTTCCTTTTTTCCTGTTCTCCACTGTCTTCTTCAGCTGGCCCCACGATTGCCCACAGACTTCTTTTTGTTTTCGACTCACTTGATCTCCTGCATGTCGCCCGAGTTCCGAATCAGCTATGGCCTGGAGCCCAATGTCCCTTGGCAATCTCTCGAATGTGTGCTTTATCCATCTCCATTTTTTGTTCTACATATTTTTGTTGAACAATAGATTATTGGTTAGTTCATTCCCAAAGTTTCTTGTTGCCAATTCTTTTCGGCCGGCCGGCCGGCCAGCCATCTAATCTTCAATATGGAGTAAACGAGGTTTAGCTGCTGATAAATGTCTCCTTATTCACCAGTTTTTTTCGCCGGTCATAAGCCTGGGTAAAGAAAGAAAGTTGGCCGTGGGGCTAGGGACCCTATCCGGGGAAATTTATCCAATAGCTGCAAAACCCTTAAAGCACATGAAGAAAGATATTAAAAATAAACTTATTCTTCTCTGGAATTGGAGAGACAAAATGACACCAGCTAGTGAAAACTTTCGGGAAGCCAGTCAACCGATGTGTCCACTTTCAATGAAAGTAAAACTAATGATGAGGAACGTGGAATGTTCGTGTAATGTACGAGGCTGGGAAGGCTGCTAGAGAAATGACAAGATATGGCGTAGGACTACTAGGAATCTGTGAAAGCGGTTGAAATGGTCGAGCTTGTTTAGCTGTTTTAAGTTTCGATCATGGATTGATGCGCCATTGAAAACAAGGGAGTACCAGCATCTGCTTCGTCTCTGTTCATGTCCCTTCATCATTATGGTGACGGTACCAGCGATCGCACTCAGGACCTTCAGGTGAGAAGACCAGGCTCGGTGTGCATTTAGCCACACTTGGGCCTAAATCCAATGGCCCATGAATTCTAACTTCAGCCCATTCGCGATTTCAACGCGACTACCATCTGGTTTTAGTTGTTTTAGAATTAGGGATGAAGATTCCTAACCAGAATCAGAAAGTTGATTCATACCATCATCACTCTGAAACCAGTTTGGAAATCTTCTGCCCTCAGCATAAAGAACAAGATTAGAATATTCGACACGAATGTAAAGTCAGTCAGTTCTTCTATATGGGTCGGCAACTTGCACTGAACATCACGGAAAGCCCCTTCCAACAGGCTACTGCAGACTTTTGTCAACACCTGCCTTGTTTGCTCCATATTGAAAATCATATGCCCGAGCAGAAAGAATTAGCAGCAAGAAACTCTGAGAACGAACTAACCAGAACAGTATTGCTCAACAAATATGTAGGAGAAAATGGAGATGGATTGGACACGCGGTGAGGAGACCGTTAGGTGACATCTTGTACCAGTCAGGCCCTTTATTGGGACCCTAATAGGAAACAAGGAGTTGGGCTTGTGTCCGACGGTGACATGGAGGAGATAGTGCTAGTCATGCAGCCAACTGAAGAGGACTGCAGAGAACAGGAAAAAATGTAGATGTTCTTCTGAAGCCCCGCGTTCCACTCGAAACCCAAGGGAACAGCATTAATAATAGTTATAAGTGTGTAATGGTTATCTTGAATCATGTGTGATTTTCTTTCGTTCAGTTCCAGTCTTCAATCTCACTTCCTGCTTCAGTAGGCCTCCACTCAAGGTCCTCTATTCACGTCGTAATTACTGTTTTAAGAATAATGAACCAAACTGCCTGGAATAGGTCATTTACGTGCAAAAAACTATCAGTCACACTTACTTAAGTTGGGTAGGATTCGGAGCTGTGCCCACGCCCCTCCTTATTCGAAAGTCGTGAACAATGGTGATGAGGACATTGGTTTGGTGCTAGTCGAGCCAAAATCACAAATTGGTAGAGGTTAGAATTCATGAGTTGCTTGGTCATTGGTTCGGTTTCCATTAGCTGAATGGTCTATGAGTTAGCTTACCTTTTTAACCGACAGGTCCTGATTTCGAATCCCGATGTATCCCTATCGATGAAGAGTCTCAAGAACTAGGACTATGAAACAGCTGTCCAGTACTCTTTGATAGTTTTCCAATGGTTCTCTAACTGGCATCAATCTGTTGTCAAACTTGTTTTATTTTTTTGTTGGCAACACTTATTTTCAATTTACAATGAGAGAATAATTTATGCATTTGTTTGCTTGTTTTACTAAAAAGGAATAGATCCAATCAGTGAATCAGATGCATCAAATCTGCAGGTATCATCATCAATCCTACCATAATCGTCATCATCATGAACTACAACTCGACAAGGATTATAATGCTGGCAATGGTGACATTGTCCGCGATTGTGGTGATGATGATGACGGTGAACCTCCAATAATCCCCGCATCTCGTATTCATTCTACCAGTATGAATGTATGTATGGCCACGCATACATAGGGAGGACTCATCGACCTCGTCAAGTAAGTGCTTTAGAGCATATTCGAAATGGCTTCACAAACAAATTGAATCCCCAGAACCGAATAATGGTGAGAACAGACGACATATTATAGGGACAGGTCGATGATACTGATGTTCCTCGCGTCTTTCAAACCCATCTATAAAACGCGTTTGGGGAAGGTGTATACTAAAGTTTGTGAGTACATTATCTGGATATTATGAAGTTTAAACCACCTTTATGCGTCCACAGGAACAATTCCTCATCTCACTAAATCTTCCTTCCTCGGTAAACTTTGTTCTGATACCTGGTTGGATGTAGTATTAAATGCCTCCCTCTGTTTTGTGATCTGCATTGTTATTTGAATTTCAGTATGTGATTTGAACTTGACCTAAGTCCCTTTTCTCACTCCTCAACGCCTAATTATTTCCATATGTATATATTCCTATGACAATTCTGTGTGTGATTAGATTGTTCGAAACAGGTGTTGCACACAAAATACACACCACACCATTCACAGAAAAACTACATCTTGGTACTATTGTTTTTTCTATATTAACAAAGGGAATTGTTTCAAAAATACAGTTTTATTTAGTCCTACTATTTGGCATTATCCGTTGCATCGAGAACAAGGAGAACGGTTAAATTTTAGACTGTTACAAGGCAAACTCGTAGACTATTAGGCCACCAGGCCCCGATCCAATGGCCGATGTATTCTAGCGTCTGCCAATACATATTGAATACAAGTTTGAAATGTGTCCAGCATTCTGGGTGGCTTGCCATCAAGGTGCACTTTGAATTGTTAATATTAGATAGTTGGAGGCAGGCAGTCCACAGGAAGCCTTCCGCCAACCTGCACCAAGTGAAGGGCTAGTAGACACATTATACTAGTTGCTAACTAGTATCCAATCAAAGTATCCACTACAGTCCTATAGGAGGTCAGTTCCCAGCCCACACGTCACGTCTTTGAATGTGTCATTCACTGGGTGGCGCTGGTTTAAGTCTCAAAACGGACACGAGGTGTTCCTTCAAAGTTGTAGACACGCCTTGGTGACTGATGAGTGCCAACAAGCAGAAAACCTGTGTCCGAGACTTCCTGCCGATCACCTCCAACCATCTAATATTTTTCTCTTCTGTTTATAAATAGAAGGATTTGTTTCCTCATGAATTAGCACTGCGAATCACAGCAGCCTATCTTCATTCACCATAATGAAGCTGTCGTTTGAATAAGTGTTTGACTATACTCTCTCCATCTGAAACATCTCCATATTCACTTTATTTGGGGAATGTTATTTCCTCTTCTCTAATACGGATATGACGAGGTTTTTAGCTTTCTAGCTTCACAAACTATAATTATTTATTTGCAGTTATCGAATCGAAAAACAGAAATTCTAGATATCTTCTACATCTTATTAGTTAATAAACATTAAATTATCAAATGTTTTTTTGTTCACTTTTATCTTCCTTTTTTGGCCCTTAAAACTTCTTTTCATCAATGTACACTGAATTTGGTGCTCACTGAGTTCATAAGTTATATTTTCCATAGGTTATCGGCTTAGTGCTTCCTTCTAAATACGAGCTGTTCCTTTTAATTATGGGGTATATGCGTATCTCAGAAGGCATACTATTTGTTTAAATTATTGGTATATGATAATCACTCGAACCCTGGCGGTGGGTGCGTACTGATGAAGAGTCCCAAACTAGGACGAAACAGTTGTCCAGTACTCCCAGGTTCTCCAATGGTTCTCTAAGTAATGTCAGGTCATGATGAAATCCTGTAATCACTCAATCCGTTAGAAATAACTATTTTTCCCATTTCGATTAAGATGTATCCTTCGATTCCCGAGTACATCGATTTGCATTGAAGTTGAACAGTGTTTTATGACTTACGAAAAAAGCAATGCTTCTGGAGATCGCCTTTCATCATCTTTGGAAATGGATTCATACGAGTCAGGAGGAAATACTCTACTGTCTAGTGTGATAACTAGTGATAAAGAATCATTGTCATCAAGTGATTTCAAGCGTGAACTTTCTACTGAGATCTCATCAACTAGTCGTACACGTCGTAAACAAGCATTGATACCAACTTGTAGAACTACCTATCATAATCAAAATGTAAAAACCGTCCTTCTTAATGATTTGACTTCAAATGAGGACAAGAATATTGATCTGTAAGTTCTTTTCCCTTGATGTTGAGTTGATTTTGTTGTTATTTTACATTTTCACCCTGAATCCCTAAATTTTATTATTCTAGAGGGGAAGTAATACGCGATAGTTTATGTCTATCACATACAAATAAAGAAAGATTATTATTGTTGTCGTTCCCTTGGGTTCCTAGTGGAACATAGAGCTTCAACTGCATGCCTCCACTTGCTTCTGTCTTCTGCTCTACTTTTCACCTGCATCCATGTTAGTCCATACTCTTTCAAATCCTCTTCACACGATCTTCTCCATGTCACCCTTGGACACCTCATTCGCCGCTTCCCTTTCAGGTTCCACCCGAGCAATGGCCTGACGCGCGCGCGATGTCACCCAGTGTCCAATCTGTATCCACTTTCTCCTGCATATTTGTTGGTTGGTGATTGGTTCTTGTTTTTGCTTGTTCCCATAGTTTCTTGTTGGTGATTCTTTCTGGCCGGCCATCTGATCTTCAGTATAGAGCGTTAGTTGACAGTTGTTGATAATGGTCTGCAACAGGCTGTTGGAAATATTCTTTGTGACCCTCCCGCCAAGTTTCTGATCTGTATGGAAGAACTGACTGACTTGACGTTTGTATTGAAAATCCGACCGAATTTTGTTGTTGGTGCTGAGTGACGAAGATTTCCAGATTGGTTTCAGGTTGATGAGTGAATGTGTTTCTCGCCTTCCCGATTCGATTCTCGATTTGACATCCTCGTCCGTTCCGACTTCCTGTAGTTGAGGCAATGCTCCCTAGATAAGTGAATGAAGTAACCTCTTTCAAATCCCCCTCGATGTTGCTGCTGTTGTTGTTGGCTGGTTATCTCCGCAAGCTCCGTCTTGCCTATGTTCACCTGGAGTCCTGTCTTCGCCGGTTGCTTCTCTTACCAGTTTGTCGGTTTTCCCTTGATAGGTGAAGTTTTCGATTTTGTGTGACATCAAACATAAATCATCCACGTGCGACATCCAGGTCTTCTAGGTTTTTCACATCAGTCCTGGCTATCCTCCACTGAAAGCATGCAGGTTTAAAATCGATCAGCTCATGATGAAAATCCTCAAACATACAGCTTCAAAGTTTGTCAGTTTTAAAATTTCAGTAGCAGCAGTGTTGTTATTTTTCCTCACAGGCTGGGGTTTCCAACCTTGATTTGATGAAATGGAATATTAGAAGACATAAATTGTCTCCCTGAATTAGTTCATTCAATGCCTTTGCGTTCCCAGTGGAACATAGGGCTTCAGGCTTGGATTTTTTAAGTTTTAGTATCGGTGATTTAGGTCTTTCATGTTCCGAGATTGCTGGCGTCACGTCCAACGATATCTGTTTATGACAGGCTTGCTACGGCTTCAGCGAACGAGGTCCGCCAGTGCGTTGACATAAAGGCTTCCTATATTTATCGTTAACTGACTGACTGTCTGACTGACTGGTTAGGGTTCAACATAGGACTTTGCAGAGATGTGGATAAGTTCGAGTTGTCACCAACCTCTCCCACTCTCCCTCCCATGCTCCATGCAACACACAAAGCAAGTGAAAAGACAGCCTGTCTGTATAACATCAATCAGAGTTAAATGACTGATACATATTTTGATGTTATGTCTGAAGTGTAGTGAAACCAACTGATGCACTTATATTACTATTTTTCTGTTGTGCAGTCCGATTCCTGGAGCATGTTAATGTGGAAAGAGAAAGGTTGGCCTGTGAAATATACTGCAAGTTTATTAGGCGAACGACACGTGATATTTACACAACTTTGCCACCATAAATTGGGCTCACAGCCGTGAGAAATGATTGCTGACACTAGCGACAAATTGCGTGAGAAATTATTGATTACACAACTAGTCAAGATACGCGTGAGAAAGGATGATATCCTACTTTTTGTGTGATTCTATCAGATGGGCAAGTCAGACAGTCACTGCTGTAGGCTGGTTAAATTTCTCCTCGAAATGTCCAGCCTTCTATCCTGAGAACCATGTGAAGCGCTGCTTTTCGCGGGAATTGTCTGAATTATTGTCTGCCTTTTGCAACTTGTTTTTCTCTAATAATTCTAAATAGTAAGTGACCGTCTGGTTCTCTTCTCTGTTCCTCCCACTTTCTGTGTCAATTTCTTCCTGTATAATTTGGTTTAAAGTTGTCTCATTACCCAATAATGGTGATAGTATTTTTACGGGGTGTTGCGTGGAGTTCTCAGTCACTCATGTCCAACCTTCCTTATCTCTCAATCCTCGTCTACTACCACTGTTGCTATTATATGCATAAAACTTGGTTAGCACTGTGGTAGTGTGTAATTCTATATTAGTTAGTTTATTAGAGATATATCACACACAGTGAGTGAAACATCATTATTTACTGGATGACGTTTCAAACACAATTTACTGTTGTTCATAATCATATCATCAATTGTTACTCTAGACAACTTCGTAACTTTCGTTTTGTACTTTTCTTTATATCTCCCTGTTCGTTGTAGTTCTGTTCCACGTATTCTCTATCAGTTGATTCGATGATTAATAAATCTTCCGTTATCAGTCCTGCTCCCTCAGCTCTGTTATATTAGATTTAGAACTGTCATTTTGCCCCATCCTTTAGTTTGTGTGACTGCATGTGAAGTGCTATAGTTGAAATATTCTCCAGATTTTGTTGTCTTATTAGGGTCAACTAATGCAGATTTTGATAGGTTTTTGGGCTGCTCCACTAGTCTGACAGACTAATCCCTTTCTACTATTTTGACCTGACAATCATTCCAGCAGAGTATTAGTTAAACTAAAATTGTTTTGTTTATTTGGCTCCACAGGGGTGCCTTAACCAACAAATCTTGTTTCTAATTGAGTTTGTGGATGGTTTGAATGCCAGCGACTTTTATTCCTGACTGTATTGTTAAGAATTCTCTGTGAGGTTTCCGAGGTTTCTTGTTTGTATGGAAGCACTAGTGATGATTTATATTCCCTATGGTAGGTGACGTTGCGTCATTCTGTGAATGTTCGACATACATGTCGTTATTATTATTATTAATATTATTATTATTATCACAATCACTACAATTGTAACATCAGAAGGCAAGCCACAAAAGCCAAAATATATTTTCAAGTGATTAAGGTGGCATTTGTATCTATACAGTTTATATTCTTTAAGTAATCACTGACAGTGTAATTTCGGTTTACATTAAACAACATGAAGTTGACGGTTCAAGTACATTTAGCATTATTTTGCTAATTCCGTATTGAACTGTTGAAAAAGTATTCAGTCGTTAACACCATCAAATACAATGATTCTTATTGTGAGAAAAATATTCCGTTAGAACCCATTGTCTGTATCACAACACCACACTATTATTGTTAATTTTATTTTAACATTTTCCCACATACTTCTTTTTTATATTAGCAGGGTAATTATTAAGTTTCAAAGCTTATCTTATATGCCTCACTTCCTTATACTATTTAGTTTTTGTGCTCTATTACGTAAAGATTTCACCAATCCTACTTTTACCGACTTATTGTTTGGGTACTATCCGAAATCCAAATATCGGTTTGAATGTGTGGGTTTTGTGTAAACACTAGTCTTTAACTTCTCATCTTCTTTCCTTTTTACGCTTCAATCTAACATCCAATGCTCCCCTGTATAACTTTCCAATTCATTAGTGAATTGAATTGCCTCTCCCTTCGAGTTGATTTGCTCGAAAAATCTATCTATATCTTGTGTCTTGAGTACAGTGAATGTGTCATCTACATACCTCCACCATACTTTTGTGGTGGGGGTGAACGTTTCAACAGCTATGCTTTCCCACCTATCCATGAATATATCTGTTACAACTGGGGATATTGGTGATCCCATGGCAACTCCCTCAGTTTGTTTGTATATTTTCCCTTGGAATTTAAATACTGTGGAAGTCAGGCATGGCTGCACTTCCAGCATTATGTCCTCAAGTGGCACTTTTGTTCTAAGTTCGAGTTCTTGGTCAGAAATGAGTTCGTGTCTGACTGCCTCTATAGCCATATTTATTGGCATACGTGTATCTAAACTGACAATGTCAAAACTAAGCATTTTTTCTTCATTATTAAATTTCAAATTATTTAATCTGTGTTTTAGTTCATAAGAATTTGTTAGTCAAGCTTTTGAGTGTCTTTTAAGGGGAGTTTAATACCATGGCTAAATACTTATATAGTTCATAAGTAGGTGAATTTTTTCTAAAATCAACTATAGGTCTAATAGGGTATCTTGACTTATGAACTTTAACAACACCATACATCCTACTGGGGTTATTAGTTTTGAGCATTAAATTAAATCATTTAGACTCACCTAGAAACGGCTTAATCTGGCGTATAAGATCCGCTGTGGATTTCTCAACGTTATTCGATACCTTTGCGTTTTAAAAGTGAGAGATACCTGGATGATACTTTCATTGACTACAATAGTGAAGAGAGAATTTTGAAGGTATTCTTGATTTCTCCAGTGGATTTCAGTATGTCATTCAATTAATGCTAGGGAAAAAGTCTAACCCGAAAATTATTCTTCCTGGATATTCAGTTAACACGATACAAAAGATCCATCCACAGAAGACCGACATGTAATGGACAACATACAGTCATATACAGTTGGATGTCTTTATATACAAAAATAAACCTGATTCACTTGTTTACGCACAGAATCCACTGTCACATTTCCATCCCTGAAACGCTATGGAAAAGGACCTGGAAGAGTAAGTAGGGTGGGATAAGGGCAGGTTCTCATTGAAAGTGGTAAAGTCCGAACGCCGCTTCATCGTAGCAAAGTTCCATGAAATCCAACAACACTAAAATTGTGTACACTTTCTGCTTGCACTCTCCCTCAACAGAAAAGTTTATCTGAATCTCCAATTCTCAATGCAGACTCATTGGCAGAAATACTAAGAGAAAAATCCCCGTTCCGTCTTCGCTGAACAAAAAGACTATCTTCGCAGCTGAAGATGAATTTACTTTCTATGCAGAATCATTCACATTTTCTGACTTTAGTCATCCATAGGCATACA